TAAATTACTGTTAAATTAAATTTTAAAATTATTTTAACTTGGTTCACAAACTCGAGCTTCGCCAGTAACAGCAGCAAGAATGCCTTCATAAACAGAATGCCAGCATGAGGCAGGTGTCAGACTAGAGATGATAGTGACAATCACCTCCTGTTCTCTTGCTATTAGAGTATTACACCAGAAACATCAAATTCTTCTGAAAGGGCGAAAGACAGAAAGTTGTCATTTCTGGCTCCTGAAAACAAGAGCAAAATGCTCAGCACCTGTGGGTGTGAAAGGTGGGTGATTAAGGCCATATCCACACTAGTATACGTTTTCGTTTGAAAACGTATATTTTTCTCTCCGGTTTGGCCTTCCGTCCACGTTGAGACGGCGTTTTAAGTCAATGAAAACGTAGCTTTTGGTAACGGTCTCCAAAGCAGCCAGATAAATTTGAAACCGCTGTTTTCGCGTTGTAGTGTGGACTGTGAAACGGTAAGTTTAGTCATGTGATCCATGTTGTACCAATAGATATTCATGTTTACAGGTATTGTGCCTGTTATGTGCCATTTACTTTCACACTGTTGCTAGAATATGTTACTTTGCACATTCTTCATATCTCAGCCGATGCCCTTTGCAGACATCCCCATTCATTTCACCTGTCTTCGCAGGCGGACTGGGACTCTCAGAGGGGAGCAGTGTGGCGTGATGACTGGGCATTTAATCAGTTTGGGTTGTTTAAGATAACGGCCAAGTTCTTATCTTTCTGCAATAACATACCCGACAGGATGATGATTCTGTTTTTCTACTGCGATGCTGATACGGTGTCCCTAAAGAACACTTTCCTACATTTCAGTTATTTGACACATTTCTACACAAAATATAAACTGTTAACAAACCACCCAGGAGTCTGTATATTAACCACCCTGAGTCCATATTTTGAGGGCTATTGTGGAATTAAATTGTTTCCCTTTATCCAAATTCCATCATAAACACGGAATACTTTTCAATATTAATATACTTCTATATATTGTAAACCATTACATTCTGAAGTAACATCTAAATGAATCTCTTTCTCAATAAAATACTAAAATCTTTCAAAAAAATGAGAGAACTCAAAAAGATTTTACAAAATGTATTTTTAAACAAATAAAGATCTACATACAACTGAAACTCTAGATGGCGGAGGCTGATCGGTCCTTAAAGGAGTAGTTAAAAATTAGAATATATTTTGTTGGCCAGTTCTTTGACTGTGCATTCATATTACATTTAAAATGTGCCAAGTAACTATTGCAGCACCCCTTAGTTAGAGTTCAAGTTTCAAATCAAAACTTGCTAAAAGAGTGTGTGCAGGGGAGAAGCAAGCAGCGAACTTGATGTCCAACCGGTCCGTTTATGTTTGTGAACATGTTCAAGGATAAGGTGAAAAGGAGAAAAGAGATGCACTGAGGGTTGATAAGGACAAGGCACTGTGCACATACTGTGATCCTTCAGATCTACACTTCATGCCATCCACCGCTGATGGGGCCTGTGTGGCATGCTGGCATGAAACAAAGCACATTAACATCAGCAGAGAACGTTATTATTTTTCTTCACAGTGTGAATTTTAATGCCTCAGAATGCCGTTGTTTTACTGAGACAAATCTTTCATGTCCTCCATTTTGCATGTGAAAGAAATGTAAATGGAGCAGTTAAGCCAGGGAAAACCTGAAGATGAAATTCAGCCAACAGCTCATTAGTCTGACGGTTATAGCGCACCACAGGTGCTGCGGTGTCCTAGCTAACGAGGTAAGCAATGGTCATTAAAGATTCTCGCGCACTTACTGGCGACACGCGGCCGTTAACCTTGCTAACCTCTGTGGATTTCAAGAGAGTTTGACGACGAAAGTTACAAATGTTTTTTGACCTTGCCATGCTCTTTTCTAATGAAACCATTAGAAGGAAGATACGCTATTAGATTTCTGTTTCTTTAGAAATAAAGTTAACTTTAACATAATAGGGCCATCTATAAGAATTATGAAGGACATTTTAGCCAAAAATGAATATTCGTTTCTTTCTGTCATTATTCAAACACATTGTTTTTGATTACAGTTTTATGAATAATGTGTATTCAAACATACTGCTCACTTGACAAACAATTATTTGCATACCATATATAACACGAAGAGAATACTTTATAGCACGTATACTATACATAGAGAGAAAGTAGGCATATTAAAGATGCAGTGTGCGATTTTCAGCAGCATCTAGCGGTTCGGTAATTATATTTATTAATGCAATTATCTCATTATGCAATTATCTATATCAACCACTTGGCAGTTGCTACAATGCATTTAGGGGTGTGGTCCTGGTCAAGACAATCTCCTGAACTGTAAACTGAATGTCCGAATGGGAAAGAAAGGCTATTTAAGCAATTTTGAGAGTGGCATATTTGTTGGTGCCAGATGGGCCGGTCTGAGTATTTCACAATCTGCTCAGTTACTGGGATTTCACGCACAACCATTTCTAGGATTTACAAAGAATGGTGTGAAAAGGGAAAAAACATCCAGTTTGCGGCAGTCCTGTGGGTAAAAATGCCTTGTTGATGCTAGAGGTCAGAGGTGAATGGGCCGACTGATTCAAGCTAATAGAAGAGCAACTTTGACTGAAATAACCACTCGTTACAACCGAGGGATGCAGCAAAGCATTTGTGAAGCCACAACACGCACAACCTTGAGGCGGATGGGCTACAACAGCAGAAGACCCCACCGGGTACCACTCATCTCCACTACAAATAGGAAAAAAGAAGCTACAATTTGCAAGAGCTCACCAAAACTGGACAGTTGAAGACTGAAAAATGTTGCCTGGTCTGATGCGTCTCGATTTCAGTTGAGACATTCAGATGGTAGAGTCAGAATTTGGCGTCAAAAGAATGAGAACATGGATCCATCATGCCTTGTTACCACTGTGCAGGCTGGTGGTGGTGGTGGTTTCTTGGCACACTTTAGGCCCCTTAATGCCAATTGGGCATCATTTAAATGCCACAACCTACACGAGCATTGTTTCTGACCATGTCCATCTCATTATGGCCACCATGTACCCATCCTCTGATGGCTACTTCCAGCAGGATAATATACCATGTCACAAAGCTCGAATCATTTCAAATTGGTTTCTTGAACATGTAAATGAGTTCACTGTACTAAAATGGACCCCACAGTCACCAGATCTCAACCCAATAGAGCATCTTTGGGATGTGGTGGAATGGGAGATTCGTGCCCTGGATGTGCATCCAACAAATCTCCATCAACTGCAAGATGCTATCCTATCAATATGGGCCAAAATTTCTAAAGAATGCTTTCAGTGCCTTGTTGAATCAATGCTACGTAGAATTAAGGCAGTTCTAAAGGCGAAAGGGGGTCAAACACAGTATTAGTATGGTGTTCCTAATGATCCATTTAGGTGGATGTAGATACATATAATAAGAACTTTACTTTTTTATTATTATTATTATTGAAAACAACCATAAAGACTTTCATAAATCCACAAGTAGTCCACAGGAAAAGGAATGACATTGGGAGAGTAAATACACTGTAATTTTCACATCACATCAGCAGGAACACATTGTCACTGTTGCCAAAAAGTCACTTAAATATAAAATTACAAATTACAACCAAGTATTCCAAATGAAAAGCACTGTTGCCGCTTAGTTCAAGCAACAACACGTCTCATTCACACAGTTCTCCGCTTTGTGCTGATACACTCAAAAATAATATCATTAAGCTCTCCCACCTCACCACCACACACTGCATTAAAATACATAGCTCTAGCCAACTGTGTCTGAGGCAAACAAAGCCAAGTTTTTCATGTTACTTGAGATGATGGAAACTGTTTGATCACATTAGAGAGTTGACTTAACTCCAAACAAAACCAGCCTAAATAAAATAGTCGCTAACAACAGTATGAAACACAAACACTTTTCAAGTGCATGACAAGCGTAAAGGATTTAAATGTAGTACCAGTGGTTAACAATCATTGAATGCAATCCTTTGATTGCAACATGAAAAATTATAATAACAAAAAAAATGTAGGCTAGTTAATACCTAAGCAAAGTTATATAATTATAATACCTATAATTACCTAAGCAAAGCTACCAGACTATAACACTAATTTTTAAACCAATGTTGATGATAAATGGGAAATTTACATTTCAAGCCGACTTTAAACTCCAAAAAAAGATTTTACTCCAAATTTTGACTCCAGAAAAGAAGTAGTTCCTGACCTAGAAAACCAGGTAAAATTAAGAATTATTACATTTTGGATTTACTTAAAAACTGTAATTTTTTTTTTATAGAAAATGAGCTTAGTCTTTCTAAAAATGTAGTTCAAAACATGACTTCATGCCTTCCAACAGGATATGTTGAGGAACAATGACACTGCATGAAAAAAAGGTGATATGGACAGTGACTGAAATTGAAAATCGCCTTTTGTGTTGCGAGTTTGGAACAACACGAAAGTGAATTTTTAATAATTTTCAGTTTTGGAATGAACTATCCCTTTAAGTGCGATTTCTCACTCGAGCATTTGTCCGGGGGAACTCCGTCTATGATCTATCCTTTCCAAGAATTAGGAGAGAGAGTCAGATTCCTGCGTTATATGGTTTGCAATGTTACACTAATGTACTGTAGCAAAACGTTATTCTTGGCTGACCGTCGGGACAAAACCATAGACTGAAATGTGTGCTCGCGCTACATTTCTCAACTTGTTTGAACAATCAAGACAGCTGACTTTGACTCATATTGTCCGCATCGTTTAAAGAAAGTCAGTCTTCGTTTTTAACGTATGAAAAGTGCATTAGCTTAGACGGTTGTCACTGAAGACAGGGATTTAATCAAAAAGCCATGTCAAAGTTTTACTAACATACTTCATAAAATATGAATTCTACCGAATCAAGACTTCAAAGAACTACTAGGTAAATATGTTTACCAATTTATCGAATAAGACATACATGATGTAGAAACAAAAAAACATTTGCGGCTAGACCCTACCTGACACAGCTGTTGGCGTTGCTGTAACGTTAGCCGTTTACTCTCCAGGGCAGCGTGCCGTGGTCCGCATCCCATCGCTTGTCAAACGGAATTGCTGCTGACGCCTCTCTCTGCGTTATTTGGACGCTCGCGAGCCAACAGGGCTTCCCCTCCTGCTTGTCAAACTGAAAGCGCAATCATGCGTTCAGCTGATCAGGGCAACAACAACAGCCACAGTGTCGCGCAACGCAAACAGTTCACACCGCACCACCCTGCACGCGACGCCCCGAGGGCCCCGCCCCCTTCCCATGCTCTCGCAGATCCTAGGGTGATTAATAATCATGAGGTAGTATCCTCCCGCGTCGCCCATTGGCCGAAGAAGTACCTTAATTTTTTAGCTCCCTCCTCACTGTCAGGACTGTGAGGTGACGTCATGGAACATTCCAAAAATTCCTTATCCCGGTATTCTTCATTTCGAAGGGACCCTGAAAAACTTGTTGTGTGTAGATAATTTTACAACCAACCACTACTTTTACATGTTTTTTTAAAGGTTATAGTTCACCCAAATTCTGTTATTATTTACCATATGGGGGAAAAGTGTGGGGGTGAAATAGTCCTTTTACATTGGTCCTTGGTAATAGTTTTTTATATCATTTATAGCCTATTATGTATAATTATCAGTTAAACCGATATTTGTAACAGTCATCATAACCAAACTAAAATGTTTAATGTAATATTAGGGTGAGAATCCCTTAACACATCCAGAGCAAGTGTTTCACAAGCAGGCCCATCTGGGGGATGCATACTGGGTTGCTTATGTCAGCACAATTCCCACAATTCCCTTACTCAGTTGTACTCTTTAGCAGAACTAAAGCTTCTCAGTTGCACTAATGATAGCATAGCCCACACGAGGACTATTAGTGGGGTTAACCTTCAGCATGGACTTTAATTCATTTAACTCTTTCCCAGGGGCATGGAGGAAAAGTAAATCATAATGCTCTGTAAAAACATTACTAAACTCCTAGGAAAGTGTGGCTATTCCTTGGTATTATAAACCAAACCTGAGGAGCAAATGATCACTTCTGCTCTTTGTTTCCACAAAAATTTCCAAAAGTTATACCAGTTCTGCATGGGAATCCGTTGATTCATACATTCCCTTTCGGGTTTATATTTCCAATCAGATTATTTCCCGCAGACTTGAAATGCTCAACCTCAAAAGTTCTATCTATTGTGTTGTTTGTTTCTGAATATACTAGTGTTCGTGACACTCTTATGAAGCTAAACACAGTCCCCCTGACTACCATATGATAAACAGTTATGGTTTGTTTAACAGATGCAAATGCAGTGCTGGGTCGATACCCGAAGGACAGTTTAATTACTGGGCATAAATATAGCTTACCAAACTCCACGCCTGCTCGGCCTCCAACCTGTTATTATGCTTTTTTAGATTTATTTTACAAGAATCAAATTACTCTCAAGGAAGCTGAAGAGCAGTGCTTGAGAAACTGAGAAAAACTTGAATGCGTAAGAAGGTCACAGTGGGGTCGATTGGAGCGACATTGCGTGACAAAACCAGTGTGGTATTGTTCATTTTCCCACCGTAATGCGCAACGGTGTCTTGCTGTTGAATAGGTCGTCGTGTTGGCTCTAAAATTAGTAAAGAGATAAGGTGAGACTCTCCCCTTCTCTGTGGGCTTAACGCGGTGTATTTAGAAGGCTTAGCTGGACTCCTGTAGACTCTTCGGTGTCTGGTAAAGTTCACCTGGCATTCAGGTGATGAGTCATAGCCTACAGCTGCCTGATCCCATCACTGGATGCCACTGTTGTTCAGACTCCCTGTGGAGAACGAGACGGTTGCTGGCTCCATCGTCATGACAGCCGCCGTCCTCGGCTGAGTCAAACAGGACACCTGACTGGGCATGTGGCTGTGAGGTGCGTGACGGCCGAGTGGTTGGGGGGTTTAGGCCATGCATAGAGGTCTGTTTTGATTGGGTTAACCGTGATCGCAAAGTTCACGCTCTTTGAACCGCATTGGAACACACTTTTGTTGGGTTTTCATTCCAGAGAGAGGGAGAGAGAGAGGGGGGGAAGCACAGTAGCAAGGACACTGCGTTGTGAATGCTCCACAGTGTGACAATATGATCCTAACAGGCTTATGTAACAGGGATGCCTGCATGCTCATCTTCCAGCAGACAACGGCTGCACCGACTGTTATATAACTAGATCAGCCTCCCCACAGAGCCGGGCTGCGCCTGTGCATGGCATACAGCAGCCTGCCAAAGATAAGGAGAGAGAGAGAGAGACAGAGATGTCGAGAGTGAGACAGAGAGAAACAATGCTGACCTGCTGCAGGAACACAAAGAGAGTTAGAGATTATGCAGGAGGGTAATTTAAAATATTTTTTATCTGGTTAGTGACCTACAATTGTTTTTTGTTTTTTTTTATCCAAAACTATCTGTTCATTTTTAGGTCACCATGAAATCAAAACTGGCAATTCTTGTTCCATAATGGAATGTTGCAGTATTTAGTATAAAATATTCTGTGCAAATAATTTATGTGTTTTTAATTCGTGTGCCCTTATAATCTTTAAAGGGTTAGTTCACCCAAAAATGAAAATTCTGTCAGTATTTCCTCACCCTCATGTTGTTCCAACCCCGTAAGACCTTCGTTCATCTTCACAACACAAATTAAGATATTTAAGATATTAAGATCGCTCCTGCATACAGTCCATAGGCTTCTTGAGGGACTGGCTCTTGCTGTCCTCGAAAAGTCATTAAAGACATCGTTAAAATAGTCCAAGTGACTACAGGGGCTCAATCTTAAGTTTATCAAACGACGAGAACACTTTTGTGCGCAAAAAAACAATAAAAATATCAACTATTCACGTCCTTCTCCATAAGCCTGTAGTCAGTTAACGTAGTGTGATTGCGTAGAGCTACGTCACACGTAGGCTCACTATTGGCCGACGCTGGTCATGTGTGTGTGATGCGTGTGACGTACAATAACAGAAGCTTACGCTATTAAACTAGTAACCTGACTCGCGCAGAGGGAGAAATAAACGAATAGTTGAAATAAAGTCGTTATTTTTGTTGTTTTTTTGCGCACAAAAGTGTTCTCGTCGTTTGATAAACTTAAGATTGAGCCCCTGTAGTCACTTGGACTATTTTAACGATGTCTTTAATGACTTTTCGAGGACAGCAAGAGCCAGTCCCTCAAGAAGCCTATGGACTGTATGCAGGAGCGATCTTAATATCTTAAATATCTTCATTTGTGTTCCGAAGATGAACGAAGGTCTTACGGGGTTGGAACAACATGAGGGTGAGTAAATACTGACAGAATTTTCAATTTTGGGTGAACTAACCCTTTAATCAAAATAACTCCCCCTTCCTCTTCTTGTCTGTTCTCTAATTATTATTATCTTATTTTTTTTTTTTTTTGGCACGAGGGCGGGAAAACCTGTCACAGCAGTCGTAAACCAAGATTATCCAATGATCCAATCAATTCCCAATGGACAAAATCATGCCATTCATTTTAGTTGTTTGTTTCACTCGGATATACGTCACAACTTTCATTTCATGCCAACTTTACTGTAAATCAGCCGTGTTTTTTATTTCAGTTTTAGTTTTTTGTAATTTTTGTACTTTTTTAAGTTGATTTTTTTATTTATTTACATTTTCTTGTTAAAAGTTTAATTTTATATATATATATATATATATATATATATATATATATATATATATATATATATATATATATATATATATATATATATAATTTTGCTTCACTTCTGTTATTCAATTATTTTATTTAGTTAACAATAACATTTTTACCAGCATGGTATTTCCAGAGTAATATTTCTAAGAAATATGGGATCCTGTCAAACTGCATATATAAACATTTGATCTTGATACACATGCAATATAATAGCTCAGAGTAAAATCAATGAGTTGAAATATATCTCACTTTGTTGGCAATGTACACCATCACCCATGTAATATCGGATTTTTCGGTTACTTCCACTACCATGTACATCTGATCCTTCCCCCAATATGTGGAGCTCATGTTTTCAAATAAATTCCATAATGGGACAGAGATTAAATCTGAGATGAAATCTGATTGTGGAGGAAGAACTTCAGAAAGGATTTAAAGATGGTAAAATGTGTTAAATGGAGGTGATAAGTATCTTATATAACCATATAATCAAAAATTATTGAATAAGCACAAGCAAGTGAATGAAATCTGTGTCATCAATGAGGAACTACTGTACAAGGATTATCTGTTTGTTTGTTTTTTTAATCTATGACCTTTTTATTCCCTCATAAGTTTTCTCTCATCTCATGCCCATGTGGATAATTATTTTTACATAGAGCAGCAAAAGCTAGAAGCGGTTTCTTGCTCCTGGGCTTCAGAGCAGATAAACCCAACCGGGCGGGTAGTAAGGCATCGTCTGCTGCCAGACTTTGGGCCTTGTGGAGTCTAATGGGGTGGTAATGTTGGGTAAATGTTTCCAGCACACATGTGCCAGCAGGACCAAAACTCAATTAGCTTTGCTCCTTACTGCAGTGTAATCCAATGTGCTAGGGTTTTACACTTAAAATGCAATTACACCTCTGACAGCTGCTTTCAGTCATTTCACTATAAGAGCAGCGCCTGCAAATCGAGTACAGTTGCTCTCAATATGATTTTTCTCTGAAAAAGATTTTGTTCTAAAATCCAGTTACAGCTAGTTTTTGTAGACCCTCAAATGTCACATAAAGCAGGAACTCCCATGAACTAAAATGACTGGTTTTTTAAACTTCTTTGGGGATTGTGGAATAATTTCAGGAGCATGTTGGGAACGCAGTATTCTCTCAAAGCCAATCAATGGGCCAAATTGCAGCTTGTCCTGGTGTAAACCACACACTTATTATATATTGTAAACTGAATAATGAGTTTACTAGGTGCGTAAGTATGTTTACAGTACATGGATATGGCAGACCGATCTCATGAAATGGCGTATTTCCATTTTTGTCGTGCTATCAACACGCATAATCGCCTTTCAGCGTGTTTATCAACGCCATTGACTTAACGCTACATTACTGTATATATAAATATATGACCTACCCCAACCCCGTCCCTAAACAATACCCGTCACTGGGGATAATAACATTTATGAGTCTTCCCCTACCATCCTAGGAAAAAAAATACCGCTCCCCAGATGTAGATCTACATTTTGCTTCGTTTTGCTCGGACATTAAAATGGGTAACTAAACCTCTGGTCAGAGCCTGACTTCACCCATTGGCAATATTTGAAAAAGCGGAGATAGAGCGGAGATAGAGGGGACGAAATAGACGCTAAAACACTCTATCCTGATCGTTTTCAATACTCACAATTCCAACACCTGACTCCCTACAGTGCTTTTGACGACACAAGATAGTTTTTATACTGCCAAGGCATAGCTCTCGACGCGTGGTGAGCTGAAACCTGCGTACGTCAACTGCAGTAGCCACCGTTCAACCTGAAGAGGGCAGCACTAAGACGTTTTTACATGATATATTGTAGAAATAAAACACTTTATAAACAAATGTCAAAAAAGTTACTCGAATCAATGACTGGTATTAATAAAGATCCATTCTTACAGATCATTAAATAAAAAAAAGTTGGTTTAGTGTTTAGTACACGCGGATAGCTCAAAATGCGTATAGATAACACGCCACTGGACTTGAAAGTGGCGTGTATGTTTGCGCAAAGTCATGATGCCATGTCGGACATGGATAGATATTTGGTGGTTAAATTTTTTTTTTTGCAGTAATGATGCAGACAGTGAGTAACTGATCCAGAATTTCTTCAGCTTAACGGTTGTTGTTGAAATGCACATCTGGACATCATCATTCACATCCTATTGACAGCAGGTTGAGTATCAGCATTGTAATTTCATATTGGGTTAAAGGGTTCCCTGGAGATACACTTACCAGTCTGGCTCTGAGAACTCAGGAGCAGAGAGGGTCAAAGCAGAGACAGAACATCCTGCAGCACTGCTGAGTCAGTGTGTGTGTGTGTGTGTGTTGGTGCTTAGGCAGTGAGATCATTTTGTTGATGAGTCTCTCTCTCTCTTGTTCATTGTTAGGCGAACCTGCCAGAGAGGGAGAGTTTCCAGACAGGAGTAAGTAGTTTATATGAATTGATGAGGAGAGTTATTTTTCTTTTATGCTTCTTCCAAAGTTTGTTTCTCATATTGCAATGAGATAGTGTGTGTGCAACTCCGAGAGAACAAAACAAGCCTTTAGATGAAGAGTGGGCTGAGAAATGATACAGTGAGAACACATTACTGTAGACTTCAGGGAGGAACACTGCATTATACAGACTAAAAACGTAATGTCCCTGGTGAATAAACACCGTGGTTTGCTGGTCTTAGCTAGTTTACACTGGTGTTCCAAACTAAAAACCACTAAAACCATCAAATACACTATAGCAGTTGGTTAACATAATTACTAAAGAAAACAGGAAAGACTTACAGATTTGGCGACAGTGAGTTTTTAATGTTTTTGAAAGGTCTCTTATGCTTACCAAGGCTGAATTTATTTGATCAAAAATATAATAAAACAGTCTTGTTGTGAGATATGTTTTTCAGAGTTAAGAGGGTTTTATAATCATGACCAGCAAAACAACTTAAGCAGTTTCTTTTTCTCCAGCAGAATTTCACTTTATTGTGACCAAAATATGCATAATTTTCATAGTAAAATCATTAAAACATTGAAGAATGCTTCATGCTTAATCTGATTTCATCTAATACCATGTTTGTTTTAGTCTGGCATGGAGAAAGACAACTGCAAAGCCCCATTTGAAAAGTATGGAGAGACACATATCCTCCCTGACACATTTATTTTTCTCCAACCATGTTTTCATGCGGTTTTGAGTTGGCACCAAGTACACTGTTCTTAGAACCTCTGTGAAAATGCTGGACTCTAACAAGAAGAAACCAAAGGTTTCTGGCAGCAGCTATGAGACAGACCTGATTAAAAATGAGGACAAAGACAATGTGAAATGTTATACTCCACTACAGCAGCCAAAATCAACTGTACATTCCAGTAGCCAAACTGAGAGAGAGAGAGAGTTCTGTGACACAGCACAGCAGCTATGTGGATCAAGAGTAACGTACAGCATGTTCAGTCAATATCTCATCGCTAATTAGGAAGCTTTATCTCTGCAAACACACATTAGCTCTCCGTCTTTATTACTCAACATCAGAGTCATTATCGTCTCTCCTCATTGGCTGCTAGCGTTGGTAAAATACAGCCATTTCAATGCTTTATCTCTATAGTTAATTTAAAGTCTAACGAAAACAGACCCCCAACCCATTTGAATTTGGTAATGTGACTGTTCATAAGTTTGAGGTCAGTACGATTTTTTTTAAAGTGCCCCTATTATTGATTTTTGAAAATGACCTTTCATGTAGTGTGTAACATAGCTCTAAGTGAATGAAAACATCCTATAAAGTTTTAAATCTAAGAGTGCACCATATATAAAGTTATTGTCTTTTTTAAAAGTAAGAGTCCACTCTGAGTCAATGAAATTAATCGTACATTAGCATATTACCCGGCCACTTATTGCGCGGGCAGACACCAGGGAAAACTTCAACCTCTAACACTGCAGCTGATTCCTGTGGATACTGGATAACATCATGTCCAGAAGACGCTGTGATCTACAATGTGACGGTAAAGACCCAATGATGAGCATGTGAAGAATCAGTGGTTAAAATTAATTTTTACCATGATACCACAGCAGTAATCCTAAACTTTTGCTGTGTTCCCTTTATTTTACTGACGACTGCTTCTCAAATCTCGTTGAGAAGTTGAACGCAGAATTCGCAAACCGTTTGCTCTTGAAAGAGGGTGTTCAAAATACTTAGTTTTGAGTTTTATATTGTGTTGGTCTCCTGCTAACTGGTAAACTCACATTATTACTGTGTTACTAAAATACTTCTGCTAATCAGTTGTGGACCACTATAACCTTAAACTGTGTCTATTAATACAGAATGTCTGTCGTTCTCACTACTTTGAGGAAAGATTAAGCATAGAGCAAGATTTGTTTTACTAACGTTTATGTTTCATCAGTCATTCACGCTAGAGCTTGGCTAATGAACGCACAAGTTAACGTTATTGACACAGTTTCCAAATTTTTACCGCAATAAATTAGAAAAATACTCATAGAAAATACATAGAAATGGGCGTTTTTGTTTTTGACACACGCGCTGTACACGGTAGACCAATCACAACAGACTGAGCTGTCTGGCCAATCAGACCAACTCGCAGAAAGGAGGAATTTAGAGAGATTGATTCATCTGACGAGACGAAAATGTGGTGAAGTGCAAATGTATATTATGAGAAAATTAAACCGTTTTTTTTTTTTTTACCTTTGATGCATGTAAAGCTGTTGTAGAAGACTCCAAAACGACATTAGGAAACTTTAAAATTGCATAATAGGGGCACTTCAATGTTTTTAAAATAAGTTTATTATGCCCAGCTTTGTTTTACAGTATGTACACTTGAGTGCAGTTACAGTGTTCTTACCTATAAGTAGTGGGTAATTTAAGATAACTACATGGGTTAAGGTTAGGTTAACGGTTAGTACTTGGGGAATAGGACTGCAAAAATACAATAAAAACAGTAATAATGTGAAATATTATTTCGATTTCAAACTTTAAATATATTTTGAATGACAACAGTTGACAATGGTAACAGTTGTGCTGCTTATTATTTCTGTGGATACCCGGATGATTGTTTTTTCATGATATTTGATGAGTAGAAAGATTAAAAGAACAGAATTTATTTCAAACAGATTTTGTTTTGTAACAATGAAAATGTCTTTACAATTACTTTTGACCAAATTAATGCACCATTGCTGAATAAAAGTCTTTTTCAAATAAAATAAATACTGTAAATAAAAAATCTTACTGACCCTAAACTTATCACTGGTAGCATATTTCTATTTTTTTTATTCTTTTTTTTAAATTAATGAACAATAAATATAATTGTGCGAGACTTGATTTTATCCACCTGGAACTGATTTGATTATAATATCAGTGCATCACAAGATTTGAGACCCAAATGCAATTTCGCAGTCAATTCATTAGTTAATGTTCATCCAAATAGCTAAAAAATGTAAAATTCTTTAAGAGAATGTAATATGTTTTATAAACATAAGTTCTCTGCTGACCTTCATGGACCTCTGGTTGAAAACCTATATGGGCGTAGACTTTCTGGCTTTACCATTATTTTCTCTCCCTCCAATTTCAATAGCAGAAAAGCAAAGTATTTTCTTTGAAATAACATGCAACAATGAATTATACACAATAAGACCAAGAACATGTATTAAGAAAGTCAATTTTACTGAAATTGCAGGATATAGCCATATAGTATGCACATATTTCCCTCTCTTTCAGAACGACTCATGCCAGAAAATCTTACATACCATTAGTTAGTGTACTAGACCTTGGGTTTAGAGCAAGGCAATCCTAGAAATCGCATTAAAAATCAATTGGAAACTTTTATAAATATTTCAGAGTATATGCCATTCAATGTTTAAACTTCAATGCTCTCAAAAAACCACATGAAACACCCCATAGCCTGCCCACAGAAGGAAATAAACCACTGCGGAGCTCTTGACGTCGACGCATGGGTTTGTAACACACCCACCTGGTTCTAAAGGAAAACCGTCATGGAACCCTGACCTACAGATACGGACCTCAGCCGTCTTTCTGCTGCGCTAGTGTGCGGAAACATACTAACACTATAGCAAAACACTATTGCATAAGCAGGCATTATCTATGCTTAGTCAAGCTGCCAACTGATAAACCACACATTTGAGAAGAGGGGCCTGATTTTCAGGGCCCAAAAGCACTTAACATTCAATACCTTCCTTATTCACATTCCACAACAAGCCACTCATAACATCTCCAGCACTGAGAGGAATTTACGAAACACGTTTCCTTTTGGTATCGCGGCTTATTTTGAAACAGATTTTTTGACCTGTTTTTCGTACTTTTCTCTGGCAATAGTAAAGCAACTTTTTTGCTGCGAATGCTGCCAAAGGCTACACAGTTGTGAGCATGATAATTGCTTGCAACTCCAAGAGGGTTTTATGGTCAGTGAGGCCAGTTTGGGGCACTGAGACTAAATTTGGGTAAACGAAAAAAGCATAAACATGGATGGAGAAAGAGGAAAACCAGCACTTAAAAGGTTCAGATACCGATTTAATTATTGTTTTTACCTCCAACAATGTGCCATTTGAAAACTATGAAAAACTGCTGACATGAAATTGCATAACTGGAGTAGAATCAAGTAATTAAAGGGCACATTGTTTGAAGAGTGATGGCCATCAGTATTGAGAAATGCATGTTCTCCATGATGTATAGATAAAATCAGCAGCACATCAGTTCCACCTGGTGGCCAGACAGCAAATAAAAATACAACATTCTCACCTATTCTGAGGCTTAAATGGTCAGGAATGTTTTGATTCTAAGCGTTTTAGAAATTTGTAATTCATGCCTGTGTGAGGTAAAAGGACTGTTGAAGCTCCGCCCTCTGAATTGGGAGCAGCAGCTCATTTGCATTTAAAGGAACATACACAAACAGGTGCTTTTTGCTCACCCTCAAATTTGACAATTTTAGCATGCTATATGAAAATACATGTATTTTTTAGCTAAAACTTCACTTACGCACTCAGGGGACAACAGAGACTTATCTTGTGAAAAGGGCATATAGCAAATTTATATTTCTAGCAAATTCTATAATAATAATCAACACTTTTGTGGTGGGGTCTGTAAGGAAAAAATTTTTATTTATTTATCTATTACTTCAGATTATTTATATATTAGTTGAGCCCTGAACAAACTTCAATCAGTAATCGGACAAATTCCATATCCAGTAATCATGACTAATTTTGATAGTGAATTATCAGTCAGATCAATATTAAAAGATTCGACTCTGACTAACCAACCTATTATATTAGTTTATTGAAATATATACAGCATACGCACTAATCAAACAACACCAGATCACTGAAATAGTACATTCACAGAAACAACTAAAAGGGCAATATTGTATGAAAATGAAATGTTATAAAACAGGAAAGGCACTTCTCCACAGGTCTGAAATAAACCTGGTCGCTTTTGATAAGACGGGTAATCGCCGAAGGCACACGAAGAATTACTAATCTTGTATGTTTCTCCTAATAATAGACAACAGATGAACCACCATGATTGCGTGTTAAACTGTTACTTAGGAAAAAGGTCAAATATACTTTATATATACACAGTACATACTTCACAATCACAACCAGTTTCGTCCAATGTCACAAGCATAGGATGAGCAATAATGAATGACTAGAGGCAGACACACCTACAATACTTAGTTATGAAATTTCATATTTTGCTTTCATAACACACGTGTGAAATATTTTTTACGGGTAACTAAATGTATGATGTCAATTTTAAAACATTTTTCACCACAAAATCGTATGTAATTTAACTCCAGCATGTGCTTACAAGAAAAATGAATAACAAAAATAAGCATTTTAGTCATTAAAAAACAAACAAAGTGTAGTGTCATAGGCGGAAAGCTTGAATCAATTTTCAGGAACAACATCTACTCATTAAATACATAAATTATTAACATATTAACCAGCCCTGAACAAGTGCTATTTAATTTTTTTCCCACACTAAATTAGCTATTGCCACACTAAAGTACATTTTACTTAAGCATTCTGCCAAACGACAAGCTAGATATGCTAACATGAGGCTCTGACGGGTTGGCAGCACCATATTATATTAATGGATCAGTGATCTATATGACAGCACAGCCTGTAGTTCACGGAAGTGCTGGAGACCCTGGTCAGTGTGTGTGACCTCACTGTGAAGTATGGTGTAGTGAGCTGTACTGGGGAAGGGTGTGTCAGATCGGGCTTATCTCCTGGATGCACACGTTTTAGGGGCTCTACAGAGGACCTGGAGTGAAAACAATCCCCTGTTCAAGCCCCCCAGTGCACGTGGGTTCCCCACGGTCCTCTCTCCCAATTACTTGAGAAAAAAAAACGTGCTAAATCAGAGTGAAATTGTATGTTACACAGAGTCTATTATACAATGAATTGAATAAGACCCTGATGTTGAAATGCTATCACTGTAAAAAAGGTTTCCTCTTCAGGTAGAGTAGGTTTCTAGCAGCAGTATAATGCATATTAGTATTCGTGGCTGACCACTTCGTCTCTAAGATAGTTATCGAGTTTATTTGTTGCGATAGAAATGTGTGGTGTCAGATTTGAGTAGCATGCACCTTTTAAACTGATGTTTAGTGCTGTTTCCTAAATGCAATATAAAATCAACTAGCAATTTTTACTTTATAAAACACACTTACAGCAATATTGTGTTTGAAATGACTGCAAAATAACCCTTATGTACCATGAGAAGTTAATTACTGAGGGTATCGACAACACAGAAGCAGCAACAGAATTTATATAACCCATTTACTTCATGTATCCATCACGTGTGGGGACAAAAACGTAAACGATAAAAAAAAAAAAAAAATGGTGTGCATCAGGTGTCAAACCTCAATGAAAGTACTGAGACGCACCCATAGTCAAATCTAATGATATATGGCAACTTTCTGCACAACAGTAATTCTCACGTGTCAAGTTACTGAAGTGTCATTTTGGTACTTTTAATATGTCACAGAATCATATACTTCTGTTTTTGTCCATGCAATTTCATAAACTTGTAAGTACCTATTAGCCTTATGTTACTAGTCACGAATGTTCCGTTTAAGATTTGAATTGCTTTCAATCATGCTATTTAACAGTTTTTGGGATTGCAATATTTCGAACACAACACAAACAAAGACAGTTTGAATGGGTGAGGGAGTCTCACCCACTTAAGCTTAGCTGAAGTCTCGATTGGAGAATATGAGAGGAGCCACAAGCGTCCACAGGTAGAGCCCCAGACTCAGCCAGCTGGAGCAGATCTTCACCCACACAGCAGGCATAGTGCTCTGCATGGCCTGAGTGGTTATTTCAGGTCTAAAGATAGATGCAAGGGAAAGAAAAAAAACCCAGTATTTAGACCTGAGTCAATTTATGATGCAGTTATGCTCTATTCATTATAACTGCATGAAATAAAGACCAGTAAATTTTTACAAAGTTTCTCCTTTTGTGATCCACCAAAGGTTATAGGATCAACAATTTCCATTTTTAGGTGAACTATACCTTTAAACTATAATATATAAAGATGAACTCACTCCAGTGGTCAAGTTAAAGAACGAACACTTACTTGTACCAGTTAGTGAGAGTCATCATGATATAGAGAGAGGCCAGAAAGAGGTGGAAGTGGAAAAACGAGTAGTTGTATGTGACGCCTTCCTCTTCATTATCCACAACACGCCGCAGACCGTCTTCACCCATCTCCTCTCCTCCCACAGAGCCCTTTCCCTCTTCTGTCTGCATCAGCCTGTTCACCTGAGCGTTACTGGATGAACGAATGCTGAAAAGAGAACATACATGGTTTTTAATATGGTTTCAAAAAAGATTTAGGAGCACATCTCTTTTCAATATGGATAATTTTGGAAAATTTTACTATCGCACCAAATCAGCATTTTAAAATAATTTTGGAAGGATTCTGTGACATAACAAGTAATCTTAAAATAATAAATAGAGAACAATAATTCAGAATATTAATACCTTACAACATTCATTTTTACTGTGTTTTTGATCAAATAAATGCAGCCTTGACGAGCAAAAAAAAAAAAAAAAAAAAACTTTTGAATGATAATGTATATAGTAGTGCCACTCAAAATTCTGAGTGAAAATAAACAGAAATCTGTGTTTGAACTGTTTCTGAAAAACCTAAATAATAGATACATTACAGACTGAAAAAATATTTAAGATTCTGCACCATTTCTAGTCACTACTTGAATAACAAATTTATGACACTGAAAATGTTGAAGGTTAAAGTTACTATCTAACTAAAAAATGTGTTATTATTTACTTGCCAGGGCAATTTTGTTCTCACATTTGCTGCTTGGGAAATGTTAATTATGAACCTTGCCTATAGGTGTCCACATCTGACACCACACTTATCAATCCATCTCTGGTTCATGAAAAAAAATAATATTCCTAATATACATGGTTAAACTAAAAAGCCTTTTAAACGCTGGGCTGATTCATTAAAACATTACAAAGGTTAATCAACGTGTTTTGGCAACAAACATCCAATTCAAGATTCTTAAACTATTAAGAACTATTAAACTAGCAATTCATCAAGACAGCTGGCTCACCCATCTCTGGATCAGTTAATTATAAACGTTAAATTGTACTGTACAATAAATCAGCATGGAAAACACCAGTTAACTACAGAAGCTGATGTAGAAATTTAGATGGTCTTTATGCATTTTAATAACAAATACTAATAGTAAAGTAGAGCTGTAAAATACACAAAAATCTAAATCATGTTCATTTTTTTTTTTGGTGCTTGATGTACCTGGCATAAAAGGTGCAGAAGAGGAAGATAACCAATCCCACAATGCCTTGAGCATCCCACCACTGCACCATCCCAGGGGAGCTTGTGGGCATTGCCTCAGATGCGCTGATATTGGACACCAGGCTGAGCAAACTAGGGTTACATTCACGATCTATGGGTAGAGTCAGAAAAATAAATGGTTTAAAAGTGAACATACTAAACCATAATATGATTAATTGCTGTAATTAAATTATATACTTTACAACTAAACACTACACCTCTATTGCTCAGCTAATCACATTTTATTGCTTATTTGGATTGCTAATAGGTAAATTTACTAGCTCATAATATGCATACTAGTCTAGACCATAGCAAAATATAGGTAAAGAGGGCAAAATTCATAATCTGGATTCTAATGGGTAATTTGGCTTTATTCTGTAAGGAGGCTATAAAGGATCTCGTGTTTATGACACCACAAAACTCACCAAAAAAAGCATCAACCCGAGCAGGTTCATAAAGAAAGCTCGTCAAATGAGAAGAGGGACCAAAGTCAGGTATTTTCATCAGAGTACATATTTTCTGAGATTTTCTTGCATAACTTACTAGGATTGTTGGTCATGGCGGACCAGGTGACATACATAGTGTACAGGGTAATAATAGAGGACTGAAGCAGACCAGACTGTGGTGAGGCATCCTGCAAAAACATACAAAAATAAAGAAACATGCTTAGTTAAGTACACATCAGATATTGTAAACACCAGTGAAGCTCGTATGAAATTACAGAATCTAAACTGCAGATTTTCAGTGAAGAAAGCTTGTCTGTTGTGGCAGGCCAGCATTGATATTCTGAATGCAAAAGAGGGAACAAAGAAGTTCCGGTTAAAAGACAAAAGCTGGAGGCTAATGCAAATAGTAGATGACCTTCAGTACAACAGGGAGACTGTTTTCTTATGCACATTATAAATCAGCATTCATGTCAGGATTTGTGTACCGAGGCAAAATGTTACATACAGTATGTCGAACAGCTAGTTAAAGCGGTTTTGTCATTTCCTGTATGTTGCTTCACATTCAAGGTCTTTATGCTGCTTAATATCTTAAAGGGGATGTCTAATGCTATTTCATGCATTCTGACTTGTTTACACTGTTAGATAGTTAGATTCTCATGCTAAACTTGGCCAAAGTTTCAAAAAAATATGTTGGACGTATTTTCCTGTGCCAAATACACTCCTACAGGATTCATATACATTTCGTAATGTTTTTTTTTTCCTGAGTATGACGTCATATAGGGTGAAATTCCTTATATGGGCACTTCTCCTGGAAGAGTGCACTGCCAGAACACATCAAATCAGAGCAAGAGCAACGCCCATCAATGTGCTTAGATCGGGTTACAGACCGGCAGCGCTGTCATTTTGTTTTTAGACCACAAAATCAACAATGTCATCAAAGAAGTGTGTTTTTGGTTGTGAGAGAAAGATAATCTTGTTCAGCATCCCAAAGAATGCAGCGTTAGGGGAACAGTGGATGCAGTTCGTTTTTCAAGTTGTGCAAGTGTGTTTGTTCCAGGCATTTCGGTGACAAATGTTATATGAACAAGGCCCAGTTCGACACTGGATTTGCAGATCGTTTGAAACTGAAATATGACGTGGTCCCAGCTCTAAAATATCTCGTTCATGAGTCAGAATTAGGGTTGCCACCCGTCCCTTAAAATACGGAATCGTCCCGTATTTGTGAAGTAAACAGCGCGTCCCGTTTTGAATCAATACGGGACGCGGTTTGTCCCGTATTTCCGAACGCATGATCCCATGCAAATCATGCCACCCGCATTCTGTGAAGACTCCTCCTATTCTACCCTTGATTGGGTAATACTCGCTGCCATTGTTGGTTTGATTGATTTGTTTAATATACCATCAGGTTCAGGGCCAATCAGAGTCAGAAGAGGGCGGGTCTTGCCTATGCGTCCACATCTGAAACGAAAGTGTGTGCAAAAGTACCGACGAGAGTGGGAGGAAACAAATACTTGGCTGGAAAGTGTCAGTGGCAATGAGTAGCCTAAATAGTTATAATAAGAAATAAGAGAGAGATATATTTAATACATATTTAATAATAAAAATGTACATGTTGTGGAGAAAATAACTTATGCTTAACAAACCTAGAGAATTTTATCCTTCAATAGGCTACTATGTCTGAAATTGAATACAAAAATAAATGCATAGATTTTCTTACCAATAATACGAATAGTCATATCAACGGACATAATTTTACATAGACCCACACATAGTTGAATAAATAAATGAGGATTTTACAGTAGCCTATAGATAATACTAATAGTAATTATAATAAAATCAATTTCACAAGAAGTAGAGTAGTCAATTTGCGCAAGAATGCATTTTAGTGTCTTTTTTCCATAGTGACGAGTCTAGAGAACATGCGGTATAGGCCTATTGTTTTGTTGTTGTTGTTTTTTTCTTTGAAAAATAAATATATAATATTAATATAGTATTCCATACATTTGTCAGAGCTTGGTAGAAAGGTAACTATATTTGTTAATGTTATTAAACAGATTAATAAATACATTATAATTGGTATTATTAAATATTAACATATATGCATACTAAATTATGGTCATATCTGTAATACACACTTTATGGCAATTAAAAGAAAGTTTTAAAAGTGCAAATTTTTTTAAATAAAAATTAGACAAACAATTACATAATAAATTCAAAATCAATTTGAGTAAATAAAAACAATAAAAATATCCCATCCATGCAGAATTGTCAAAAACATGATTACTGGTATATATGAAGTTCTTCTTTAATGATGATTTTTATCGAACTTGTATATTTAAGTTCAGTAATTTCACTTAAATGGCAATGATAATTACCTATTAATTGTTATTTAAGTGAAATTACTGAACTTAAATATACAGGTTTCATAAAAATCATCATTAAAGAAGAAAATTTCAAATGGCATTTAGAGGCTTTTGCATCTGAACTCTTCATATATATATATATATATATATATAAGTAAAATAATAAAATGTAAAATAATAATATAAAATGTTTTTTGTTGCAAGCTCACATACTTGATGTCATGTTTTTTCGTGGTTTATTGTTGAGCTGTCAAGTCGTCATGTTGAAATAACCAGTTCCATACCCTTGACACATTTTTTTATTTTTATTTCATTTAGTTATTTATTTATCTCGTGTATGGGTGTCCCTTATTTTGCCTCACTGAAGGTGGCAACCCTAGTCAGAATTGCAGGCAGTAAGTAACATCAACAAGAATTTAGAAGTCGAAAATCGTATAATCTGACACAGTGACTATCGTAACAGGCAAAAACATTGCGTAGAAAACACTTTTTGCAAAAGAAGTGCCTTGGAATTTGTGTAATTGTTTTATTTGTATGTTTTTCCATTTTTTGGAGGGAATTTTGAAGATCACAAATGAAAAGTACTCTGACATGTGCTTTAATACTTTACCTGTACTTTTGGCAGAATGGAGACCACAGATATGATGACGCAGAGAATAAGGTTGAAGCTGATAAAGAACTTGTGTTCGGTGCAGTCGTCAGGTTTGGTGTAGTATAGATAAAATAGCACGATCGCAGCAAAGGCAAGGGCGTAATGCAGGATAGTGAAGAACAACAGACCTGTAGACATAGGATATAGTCTCATGTTTCTTTCTCGGAAAAGAGTGGATTGGGACACACATCTTTGCAAGCCTATAGTGATGAACAGGATGTCTCTACATACCTGAGAACCAACATTTGTTGTTGCCCTCCTCAGCATTCCTAACCCACACCTCATTCCAGGAGTGGGCAAAGTCAATTAGGAGGATGAGCTGGATCAGGATGAACATGAAGGAGCCAACAATACCAAAGTAGAACCAAACTGTAATAAAAAAAGAATAAAATGAAACAGCTGGAAACAGTTGTGCTTGTGGAAATTGCATACATGCGTCACACCCACGCGTCAATAATAGCAAAACTGGGATATTTCTCAAAATATTTTCTTTTGTTTTCTGCAGATGATAAAGTCATACAGGTTGATGAGTAAATGATGACAGAATTTTCATTTTTGGGTGAATTATCTCTTTAAACTATATTTATAACTAGGTTTAATAAAACATGCTTCTCTGAAGGGCCCATTTTTTTCATCCTTAGATTCACAATGAAGCATACTAATGTCAAGATCTTGTTTTGGAAGTTACCCATGAACTCTGAACACAAAGTTCTGCATCTTTAATTCCACACCATGAGGATTCTGGCAAGACAGTAACAACGCATTCTTCCTGCAAATGTAATTTGCTCTGAAAAAATAACAACATCCTAGTCTACTTTCAATACCCATCTTTTCCCATGCATGTCAGAGCATTCAAAACAGTCATTAAAAAGTAATCGACTTTTTCCCAGCAGAAAACCTGGCATTTTATGCATCCCTTGAAATTGAGCCCTGCGTTTCGGGCTTCCCAAACTAACATCATCATGTTTTTGCTGCATTTAGAGCTTAACATCATTGCCATGCTGTCATTGTGTTTCCCTTTGTGAATATATGAAAATGGAAATTGTTTTATTATGTTCTGTTAAAGGAAGAGTTCAACCAAAAATGTACCATCATGAAATGTGCCATCTGGGATGAAAAAGGCTCCAACAGTGATGCCAACTAGGATCAGAAACTTGAAGAACCAGAACCTGTTGACAAAGTATTTAATGATAAAATCGAGCCAATTTAAATTCATGTAGGAAACATTACAACAACAACAAAAATAGCAGAATTAATTAATGGTCATGAAGCATAAATCAGACCTACCCGTTCTGAATAGCAGCACGAGGGTCTTTGCTGCTTTTTACACGAATCATTATTGCAGAAAAAAGGAAAAAGAAGCACGCCATAGCAAAGCACATGCGGTAGACTGATTTGTAGCCAACAATCACGTCACAGTTAACATGGTTGTCGATCCCTGGTATTGTGGTCCCCCCTTGACAAAAGCCAGGAATCTGAAGTGACATTAAAAACAGAGAAAATCAACACAATGCATTGAAAGTACACGTGAAGTAAATGCGCACTGATGGTGGACCCACCTTGCGAAGCTGCGTCTCCATGCCTGGCAAGATCATGATTACAGACACCAGTGTCCCCAGCAGGAGGAAGAAAGAGAAGACCAGCCGGGTGACAGTGGAGTTGTTGGAAGAAGGACAGCAGCCACAGAGCAGACATGGAGCAGAGCCACACAAACATGAGGCCTGTAACATGGAAGGAGTGAAAGGAATCACCAGTTAACATGGGGTAGCATATTGTTTAATTGCCACAATTTGCCAGAAATCAAACAATCTGGAAAAAAATTGAAACTTTAATATACAGTGTGTATAAAAACATTTCTAACTAGAAAACAGATGTACTGAACAAAGGTTCTACAGAGTACACATCCAATACCAAACTAAAGTTTGTGGTCAGTGAGATAAAAAACAAAACAAAACAAAACATTTTTGAAAGTCTCTTATGCTCACAAAGGCTGCAGCCTGTATTTATTTGATCAAAAATATAGTAAAAACAGTAATATTGCTAAATATTATTACAACGTATAATTTTCTATTTGAATGTGTTTTTAAAATGTGATGACAAAGCTGAATTTTTAACATCATTACTTACAAGAGAATACAATGTTTAATTAAGTTGTAGTTTTTGTTGTTTTTGGAACAAAATGTATTTTCAATGCTTCAAAACATTCTAACTAACCCACTAATGACACATGGACTACTTTCTTTGATGATGTCTTTATTTCCTTTCTGGATAAGGACAGTATACCGTACATACATTTTCAATGGAGGCACAGAAAACTCTCGGATTAAAGCTAAAATATCTTAAACTGTGTTCCGAAGATGAACTTACGGGCTTGGAACGACATGAGGGTGAGTCATTAATGACATAATTTTCTTTTTGGCTGAACTAAACCTTTAATCTAACAAATAACAGGTCAAAGTGTGAACAAATGGCTGAAACTAGATTGTGAAAACTTATTTTATTTAATGCATTTACTAGTATACTTGAACAAGTTGTATAGTTATGTTTGTGTCTTTAATAGTAAAGATACGTATTGTAACTTGTAAAATTAGAGCATATTTTCATGAACAAATGACCAGAGAGAAGGAAGGATTTGTTGACTCTATTGAGGCAGGAGTCAATCAGAAAATTATTGCTTAAGACTTTGGCCTTCATAAATCCAGTCATGCATATTGCATAAAAGTTAAATTAAGGAAATTCAACACATGACTGTTACTCATACTCAGCTGAACACCAACTCCCCAGCAAAATTATTACAAAAAATTACAATTCTTTGAAAATAGGCGTTGAACATTAGTAAGTTACTGGTGAACCCAAATAGTTATTCTGAAAACCTGTAGAACCTGAACTACTATGAGCAAATCACAAACCGCGTCGAAACTACAAGAAGAATAAATATCACAGAATGGTTCATATAATCATACATTGTTATTTGTTATGAAACCAGTTGGGACTTGATGCAATAGATCTAAATGCAAATATGAACACACTTCCGTGTAACGTTAGCTAGTTGTTTTTCAGTGAAAAGCTCTACAATATTAACGTTACACATTTTCCATTACGTACTTTTTTATCCACACGTTTTATTAGTTATGTTAGTCTAAATTTTATGTTCAGAAAACGATTTAGCGACGCTGTCAAGGGGCAGCTCAGTTAAAACGTAGGAAATTAAACAGAATACTTACACAGCTCGCAAGAGAGCACAGCGCCATACAGGCTCCCATTTTGTATTAAAAAATAAACAACTCCAAACCGTCAGAACTCAAAGACAGTCAATTACAGAGAGGTGTTTCTCTTATTTGGTCAAATGATACTGGTAATTGAAGCTAGCTATTGTAACTGGCCTTTGCCAACTTATATTTCATAATAAAAGTTCCTCTTTTTAATATACATTATTAAAACTGTGAGCTGACGTTGTTTGATGATACATAATTCCTGTTTTTAAATAATAAAAACATAGAAGATGTTTTGTAAAATACTGCATTACTTATATGTTCACCAAAAAACTCGGTTCTATTTTTATATAAATGTATTCTTCAGTGTAGTGTGACATTTTGATAATAATATAATTAATAATCAATAATATAAAATAAATTGACTTCTTAATTACATTAATGTGACTTGAGTAGTTATAATTGCGACTTATCCGCCCCTGACTGAGTTACAGTATGTACCAACCATAGACAGTAAAAGGTACCAACTGAGATGACTTCAACAACTTTTATTTTGAAATGTGAGCTCAGCAAAGGTGATGATCTGTTCAAAGCTATTTTTTACAGTCTATGGTTCAAAGTCTGCGTTTGAAAATACATTTATTTTGAAATAAATTTACAATTGTGATGTTGATTTTTAAATATATATGATCACATAGCATATAGAGAATTACATTGTGAGAATATCAGCAATTTTGAAGAATAACAGTGCTGATCATAATAGTTTTTTTTTTTGTTTTTGTTTTTTTTGTGACAGACAGAGGCGGATCAAGGTCCTGATTTGAGATCTCTATGTTTGAGATGTAAAGTGGGCCATATATCACACATAGGCTACTGTTTGTTAGTGCCAGGGTGGGGATCTATGATTCTTTTTTCTCCTATTAGTTTTTACTAGATCCACAAAATTACGGTTATATATGTTAGATAAAGATTTTAATCTCATAGCTTAGGTTACAAATTAAGTGACTGAAAATTCTATAAGACATTTGGGAACGGTGACATTTTAAGCTGATTAAAAAATATTTTATTGCTGTAGAGTGTGCTTAAAGTAAACACTGGGGGGCCACCTCTCGGACTTGTTGAATCGACCTAATCAAATTAAAGAATAAAAAAAAACATATTAAATAAATAAAAAACAGCAACCACAAAATATTTATTTAGTCATTTTAAGCTTTGATTATATTCAATTATAACGATTTTATTCCGTATTCCTTCTCGCTGCAGCGTACCGTCTCCCCTGCAGATAATTAATGGTATCTTCCTCTTTGCCCCTGTCAGTCTATGGTCAATCCATAGAAATCACGATCGCAAACGGGAGGCGAGATGGTGTTAAACCTTAGGACCGCGGCAGGTGCTTTCAAAACACACCGTCTCCCGTGGAAAAAGGTGCAATAGTTCTTCAGTACCGTGAAAAATCAGCATCAGTCAGGGACTGTGGATATCTGTCTATACACCGCTGGTAAGTTCTCCCCTCCTCTTCGCTACCTCGAGCTCGGTGTGAGCTTAATCTTCATTCACAGTGTATGGAAGTCATTCTTTATAATCATTAAGGTGAAACGTTATCCAAATCTTTGCAATAACGATCACTTGCACTGAAATGCACCCAAGATATACACTATATAATGACATATCGGGAGGATGGACACCCCTGTTGTTGACTAAAATTAACCAAGGATGATAATATAACCATAAAAATGTAAATAGACGCTCTGAATAGATGATTCTCTGTAAAACTGTTGAATTGCGATATGTGAAGGTGACAGAGCAGATCTGAGGCATCAAGGGACTTGTGTGCAACATAAACGTTTATAGCCCATGGGCTCTTACTGCTGTCAGATCAATTTCAGCCTAAGTTAACCCGAAGGCAACTTTCATAGATTCTCTGTAAAAATGCTAAAGTAAAAACCTGTTATATGGCTATCTATTATTTACCCTACCTTATAAATTTTGTTTTATTTATGTGTGTGTGTGTGTGTGTGTGTGTGTGTTTAATTATCATCTGTCACCTAATAGTGTTTTCTGTTTCTAGGTAACACATACTCTGTTTTTATTTTATTGTTGGCTACAATTACCCGAGAGGCCTATTTTGAACTTTAAATTATCATGTGGTCTTTCACCGTCTCACTTGATTCATCACATATTTTTATATTAACAAAAAGATCGTAGTAGTTTAAATAGGTTTGTATGTTAGATTTACATTAAATGCAGTTAGAAACTGTAAAATATATTGTCAGTATACTGAAAATTGCATTTGCTGACAGAATTTGACAATAGGAAGATCAAGTCATATCTGAAGCCAATATTAGTGTATCATCCTGTTTACTTGGAGGCTTTCATCTAGTCAGATTTTGAAGGCAGTAGACTTGTATATCATGCATGATACCACCAGCTGCTGGTTGGAGCAGCTGAAAGAAGTAAACTGATTTATAACCGTCTGTCCATTGTTTAATTTATGTTCAACCTATGATTTTATAGTGAGAAATTTGTTCCAGATCATTAGACGTTATGGCGCCTTGGAAGGGAAACCAGTATTATAAGAAATTACCTTCATACACACACAGCTGCCTTTGCTTTAGGACTGTAGAAAAAACACAATTTACAGGATGAACATGACATCATCTGCTCCAGTTTAACTCTGATTCAGGTCCTCACTCTGATAGGGTTAAGATCAATTTTCTCTAATGAAATTAAATAAAATATAAAACTCAAGGTTAAAATATTATTATCATTATTTTAATCTAGACACATGATGATAGGGACTTGAAGCAAAAGAAGAAACTATCATCTTGAGAATGATCACCTGACAGTTGTTAAGATCACTCTTGTCTCGTCCCATGTTGTTGTTTTGCAATTTCCAAATGTGTGTCGTCCAGTTTGATAGACAGTATGAGGTCATCCCCAAAGTGTTCTGGAGTTGTCTAGTCTGCATGCTTCGAGAAGTAAAGTGACCCCTGCGGTACACCTCTATTTGCTTACATACCCTTTCGTTTAAAGTCTGTCACTCTTCCTGTCTTGTGCAAAGCTATCTCTTTGACTCTTGTTGATATTTTGCTTTTCTGTGTGGATTTAGAACAATCACAAAATGAGATCTGTCAACAGAATGTAATATCAGTAATCTGGGTGCACTGTCTCTCCTCTATCAGAATTAGGTTTTCAATGTGAAGGTCATTGCTTTGGGCTTCCAGCTGTTGTGTCAGTCTAATAGAAAAACTAACACATCAATCAAAAAGTGCATATCACTCACAATATACAGTATGCCATATTATGTTTAATGTACAGCAGGTTAGATTATATTTCCCAAACACAAATTGTGTCTTGTTTGCCTATTTGTGTGAGAAAGCAAACAGGTACAGATGGTATCATTTTGCACAAGCTGCTCAAACTAACCCATTATTTTCTTACAAGAGATTCATCTTTAAGCAAAAACCAAGTCGCCAGCAACAAACAGGTTAAACTGTGGTAAAATAGTACAGCATATCTCTAATAAAAACACATTTAATATTGTTTAACTTAATTTTCAAGATTAAAGATTTCTTACAGATTTATTTTGGTAAATTCCTAACTTGATGCTCAAAAGTTTGGGGTAAGTAAAGTAAGAAATGAATATTTTTAGTTTTCAGCAAGGACACAATTGTTCAAAAGTGACAGTAAAGACATTTATAATGTTACAAACGATTTCTGTTAAAAAAAAAAAAAAAAACGAATCTTTTGAACGTTTTATTCCTCAAAGAAAACTGTTTTTAACTTTCCCATGAAAGGATTATTTTATTATTTAAAAAATTATATATTTATATATATATATAATTATATAGTTATATAATTTATTAAAAATTATATATATATATATATATATATATATATATATATATGTATAAAAAACTTTATTATTATTTCATTAAAAAATGATAAAATTACAATAAATAAAATAACATAAAACGATAAAATAGATTTTAAAGGGGTGATGAACTGAGAAATCTAATTTTCTTTGAGCTTTTGACATCTAAGAGGTCATCATATTATAAGAATATCCTGTAAGTTTCAGAACGGAAAACGTCCTTGTTAGTTCAATAAAAGCTTTTATTGACAGCTCAGCAAACGACTTATTTTTCAAAGTGGGGAACTATGACGTCAAAGAGGATAAAACATCACCCCTGCAGAAGAAGATCAACGCCTAATTCAACACGGCCAGTTTAGCCCCGCCCACCGATTCGCGCATTACACACATAGCTAATCATAGCTAATCGACATTGTCCGTCTGTTCGTTTCATTTCACTGAGGATTGTTTTGTAAGCAAGACTGGATTCCGATTAAGATTAAAGAACGGTGCTGTGCCGTCTATATTGGATCTGACAGGAATTGCACAACGCACAGACTCTGGGTCGAACATGTATGGGCAAATCATTCCGGTTGCCATTTTACAACATTGGACATTTTCAAAACAATTTCCCCCACGTGCACCGATGAGTGAGTCGAAACTCATTATAATATGCAAAACTGTTATCCACTCACAGCAGTGGGCGTTTACTTCCAAGTCTTCAATGCGAGATGCCCATAAAAAATGAGCGTTTTTCAGCTGGGCTCAAAACTAGGGTAGAAAATAGCCTATTACTTATTCATTTTGATGTTTTTGAATGCAAAAACCAAGCGAATGTCATAAGTTGACCTCAGATAACAACATAATAAAATTTAAAAAAAAACAATTCAAATCAAGGATCGACTACACTACACTTGCATGGCTTGTTTCAGTTTTGCTTGTCCACACACTTAGATACATGTTTGCCATCTACTTAGCATTGATCATACAAAAGTGTGTTTGTAATTCATGTGTGAAATTTTTGGTAATTAAGAGACAGTGTTCTTTGAAACTTGACATTTGAGGCAATAACATCTGGTTTAGTTTAAAATCTGTGGTTAAGCAAGTGTGGACAAAGAAGTTTAAATAAAAAGGGGGGTTTAAATAAATGATAATAAATTAGGAGTGTAGCTGGGAGTGCAGTGGATCCACTCCAGCGTTGTCTCTCATCCGTAATCCTCCAGCTTCATACAATATGGATTATAAAGCTACAAAAGCCACAGCTAGTCAGGCAGCCTACCATGAGAGAGACAAGCAGAATGAGAGAGGAAGTGATGCTGTCTTTAGTTAGCCTAGATGTGCTTTTACCAGTGATTAGTGTTTAATAGCCCGAGAAGAGTTCTTGAGGACTGGCTGAGAGAACCTTGAATAATCCTTTTTATATTTGATAGCATTAGCAGACATTTCTAGGGTATTGTGGGCCATTGCCAAGGTCTTACTATGTGGTTGCTAAGGTGTTTTGGTTGGTTGCTATGTGGTTTCTCACGCTGAGTCATAAAAACTTCCCTGCTATTTAGTATGTGAAAAACCAGCTCGGTCTCATCCCAAGGCGTCATATACTGATGCTTTTGAAATTGCGTCTACATCCGACGCACATGGCACCCTTTAGCGTCAATATGAGACGCAGACATATATGGGCCAGAAGGCACCACCTAGTGGTCTAACCCTAACACTACCCCAGACCTAAACCTACCCATAAGCGAAACGTGTTATATTGACGCGAAAGGGTGCCATGTGTATCGGATTTAGACAAAATTTCAAAAGCGTCACCTATATGACGCCCTGGGATGAGAATGCGTTGGAAAAACAGTACATCAAAAGTGTAGACCTATATGTCCAAAAGCATAGCATTTGAAAACAGTGGGCGAAAAGTCCCTGGATGACCTACTACTTCCGGTGAGATTCTGAAGGGCGCATTCGATGGATGGGGAGGCCACAGGAGAGGATATATGAATGGCAGTGAAGCGACACAACTGACACTGGTCAGTCATGTGACAGTAACAACATTACAAATGTTGTTTATCCGAATTCCATTCATCTTACCCATATTCATACTATATAGAACATACTTTTTTAATGGTTGCAGAGTAATTTCAAATTCAAATGTCATACCTACTCAGACAGTACAAGATTTCGGACACAACGTTAATGTCTCAGGTCAGAAGACCCCACCCTCATACCCTGGTGCCTCATTCAATGTAAATCTATTAGTTTTTTTATTGTCCACCAGGCAAAAATATGCTTTGAAAAGTAATAATATCCCATTCGTACAAAAACAAAACAAAAACAGATGAGTTGCATGAAAGCCAAAGTAAAAAAAATAAAAAATAAAAATTCTAAGCACACACACACACACACACACACACACAAATTGGTGTAGAAACCATTTTCACTCAGAAATTGATAGCAAATGTCAAACAATTTACTAACAAACAATTACAAAGACACTGCAAGTTACACATTGAATTAAATGTGAAACTTTGAAGTAGTAAAAATGAAGTAGTTTTTTTTTTTTTTTTTTGTAGAACCTACTCCAGCAAATTAGGGTACATTTTTCTACGTCAACAATGTTTTTGCACACAGACAACAAGATTGTCAAAGCGATCCTCATTCACACAGATGTGAAAATGACTAAAAACGCTGTATTATGCTGCCAGGCCAGTAGTTGGCGATGTTACTTTGTAAAGAAACACAACACGCCTATTGATTGAACAAGTAATTCATATATGCATGACGTCAACGTTTTCACAAATTTGTGTTTTTGTTGTTTACATGGAGATGATAATGGCATCGTTATCTCCTAAAACACTATTGTCATAAAAGTTTTCCGTTTGTAGATGAAAATGGTGTCGTGTAACAGTGCATAAACAATAATTGTAATGCTTTTAGATGATAAGTGTTTGAATTATACTGCTTTTACACTGCAATAAACACTTGAGTCATGCGAACAATTGAAGTGTGACGTTTTAAGTCTGCTATCGTAAAGATATGTTATCTTTGATATGTTCCTCTGCGTTAAAGACCGTCCGACATTAAATTTTTAGTTCATGTTCTCCATGGCCTTGGGTGTCAATGATTTACAGCATATGTACACACTGATTTATTAGTCTGGTTTTTTGTGCAAGTTGCTTTGACAGTGTGTAAAACAGAGTGTGAGAATGTGGACAAGATATTATAAGCTTTTTGAATAAGCCTTGATTTAATTAGCAGATTGGTCCTGGTCTGGATGGTCCAAAGACGCACTCGTGCCATGTGAATTTCACTATATTTAAGCACAGACATATGTTTGGGCAAGCATATGCTAAGACAGGGGATGCGAGATCATGCATATGTTCATGTCCGTCCACCCAAGTGTTCACATACGGTATGTGAATAGATACACACACAGAGACTGGGATCAAATGGAAAAATAGCTAACTTGAATCTTGCAACAGCCGTGTCAAAAGAAAACAGAGCAAAAGTGCATCTCAGCGCTGTATGTCAGAAGAGATTACCTGTTGCTATGCAATATAGGTGATCCATCTTGTTGCCAAGGCAACTGCTTCCTGACTGAGAGAGAATGGAGCGTGATTTGGGAAGGCTTTGCGTTCTGTGTAGTGGCCTATTTGTGCTTGTGAAAGACAAGCCTCGGGCCACGGTGAAACCGTCGAGATGGGTCAAGCATAAAAATGTTTGCTTATATAATTCTGTTGTTCCCCCTGTGGGCGAAAAACATTTCTGGGGTGCCACCTCCATCTAGTGGTCAGAAAAGACATGTCCATGTGCTTTATTCAGATAACTATCTATCTGTTGTTCAAATACTGTTTTTTTCTTTAGCGATGACAGAAGTGGAGCCGGTGTTGGATTTTGCCTCATCGGGCCGCTCTGGTCGTCGTAATGCACTGCCCGACATCCTGGGCTCTCCTGTTGGAGTCCCTCCTGATCTGCCTCTTAAACTGGCAGAACTGTCCCTCACAGGTAACTCTTTTTTTTACATTATTATATATTTAAAAAAAAAAAAAATAAAATACAAAGTAAAAGTATAAATAATATATATATATATGAAGAGTTCAGATGCAAAAGCCTCTAAATGCCATTTGAAATTTTCTTCTTTAATGATGATTTTTATCAAACTTGTATATTTAATTTCAGTGATTTCACTTAAGAGAAATCACTGAACTTAAATATACAAGCTTGATAAAAATTCTAGAAGAAAATTTCAAATGGCATTTAGAGGCTTTTGCATCTGAACTCTTCATATATATATATATTAATATTTGAAAATATGAAAATATTTTAGTGCTGTCATATTTGCATCTAGCATACAAATAAATGTTAATATATAATGAATGTGTGTTTCTGGTGTGTGTGTGTGTGTGTGTGTATGTATATGTGTATATATATATATATATATATATAGGGTGGTGCAAGGGTTCAAATTGCTCACGCTTCGGTTTGTAACACGGCTTTAGGTTCACGGTTTTGGTGCGCTTCGCTATGTGCTATGTTCAGGGAGAAAAGGACTACTGTAAAATGAAAATAAAAACACAAATAAATACAATAGAGCAAAGATACTTATTAAATAAGCAGTGCATGCTTTTCAGGTTGTTCAGGTAGGTCTAACAATAGTTCAGGTACAGAAATTGAATAAAGTAATCATCAAATTTAATGTAACATTGCATGTTTGACTATAAATTAAAGATTAATCGTTATTAAAGTTACAAAAGCTATTCAATCAAGAGCAGTGAGTGATTCCTTGTCTTTTGTTGTTTGATTAATATTACCAACACAGACAGCAGGAATATTAAGCTACTGTCACTTTAAGACAATGCACGAATCCAAAATACTGATACACAAGCGTTGCCGTATAAATTCACTCAAGCCGGCATAACAGACTATGTCTGCTAGGATACTCATCACGGCGGACATGTTGACATCATTTTTGTGTGAATTTGACCATCGAAGAAGACTTGAAAGAGAACTCAATATTTGCGCGCTTGTCTGAGACTTCGGATGAGTGTCGATACCACTAAAGTATGCCAATAGTTATACACGTAAATATAATTTTCCTGTTTGGAAAAGTCACAGAATTTTTTTTTTTGTTATTATTTGAAATATTCCTATTGTGTCTAGTAAACCTTGTAAATTTTCAACTGGTTCACAGGTGATTAGTGAATCTCCTGTGCTGATTCACCACCAAGGGGACACATGCCTTTGGTGTGAGAGACCCGGGTTCGAATCCACTGTGAGACACCAATGTGTCCCTGAGCAAGACACTTAACCCTTAGTTGCTCCAGAGGCGTGCGACCTCTGACATATATAGCAATTGTAAGTCGCTTTGGATAAAGGCGTCAGCTAAATGTAAATGAATCAATCGCACTTTATTTGAATGCACTTTACATTCAAAAAGTGAGGGAACAATGATATTTTCAGTAATGAATTTGCTATGATTCCCCTGTGTTATTTGTCTCTCTGTTTCAGACGGTCCAGGTGATGCTCAATCCCCGTCTACGGAGGAACTCCCCACTCCCACAGAGAGCCCAGAGGTAAAGGAGGGCTCCTAGGTGGCTGAGTCTATGCCTAGACCACAGAGATGGGGCCTCGACCGCCCTCGCCTTTCCCCTGGAGCTCATCCTCTACCAACTGTTCCTGATGCCTGTCAGACTGCATTATGGGAAGAAACAGAGGGCAGCTAAAATCTGCAATGAAAGACAAGGTCTTCAAAGGGTCTGTGCAATGAAAGAATAGAATGTCCAAAAAACAGGAAAGGAAGCAGACTTGCAAAAGGAAGTCGAAGAGCAATCCTCACTTTTTTTTTTTAAACACGTGAAGCCAAAACATGGTGGGACCTGCTTGAGAACGCTTTAATAAATTTTACACATTTGTTTGACAAAATGCTGTTCTTTTTATGAGCTTTCTATCTAATTATGACTATTGTGAGTTACGTATACATCCAGTTGTGGTTTGATATTGTATGATATTATGTGATCTTAGTAATGTGTCTTTGGAAATCGCCTGTCTTTGGAAAGGGTAACGGTTAAAAGATACAAACAGATGTGTGTGAATATTCAAGCGTCATGTAGCACTATCTTTTTCAGCCTTCAAAAAAAAAAAAAAAAAAAAAAGGATACAAAAGTTTGCTTTGTTGGGGAAAAAATATTTGTGATTAAATGAATTATAACTGCCAAACCTGGGGTGCAAAATACAGTATGAAAAGGCTGAAAGGGAAATGGAAAGTTCAGAGAATGATAAGAAAAAAATTGTTTGCAGCGTTTTGAGAAAATATTCAAAATGAACACTGGTTCCAAACTTAAATTTGAATGGTTTAGCATATTAAAATGAATAAAAATGCTAAACTAAATGTAATCTCAGTGTGTAAATGATTTTATAACTAAAAAAAAAACCTCTCATATACTATATGTTGATGTATAGAGTGTCCTTACCGAAAGGAAGCGTACTTACAATATACTGTATATTTAAGTTTAGATCTTTGATGTCAGTTGAAAATATATGTTCTTGAAGATACATATGAACTCGAGTTAATAATTGAGCTAATCTAAACAATATGATAAAACCGTGACTTGTACCTTCTTTAAATGTGGTGGTGCGAGAGTGTCCAAGAGCCATAGCCTTTTTTTAAGGTCTGAAACATGCAAACTTAATGGAGGAAAATGACTTTGATGTTTGACAAGCCGAGGGAGATATTTTTTATTGTCTGTGTCATAAGTGTGAAAAGTGTATTATTTATGAAGCGCAGGGCGTTTTGGGATGTCGATTTTTGTCTATTTTAATACGTGTGTTTATTTTACATAATCGTTTATACTCTATACGCTGATAACTGCTAATGTATGTAAAATGTTGTAATTGCCAAACTGGGATAAAATTGCCTTTGTATGTTTTTACACTGCAGTAACTGTGCTGTTAAAAACACATCGATGAAGTCACACAATGTGTGTATTGTATCTACCATTACAAAGACAGTGAATCTGTGAAGCTCTTTATGTATATACACAAATATCGAGAACGTATTATACCGAATGACGCCAGTAGAAAAATCAATTGAAACTCGCTGTACCTCAGAACCCTTTTAAATGCATTAAGTGCTGTCTGTTCACCACCAGGTGGAGCCACTGTTTGCATGTGGACATTGCAAGCTACTGTACACGTCATATGTTTTCAATATGAAACAATAAGAGGGTGACCATGTGTTTCTCTGCAATAAAAGTCTAAAGTTGTTGATCTGTGTTGTGCTACTTACATGTTATCACTGTGAAGCTGCTTTGATACAATCTGTATTGTGAAAAGCGCTATATAAATAAATGTGACTTGACTTGACTTGACTTAATGTCATACATATATGCCATAATACATTTAGCTTGGCTTTTTACAGGAAGTAACGAGGCACGTGAAGCTGGTTTTAAGTGCTTATAATCAATACAAATGGATTCTTATATATCTATATATGGGCATAGCACCCAAGGAGTAGATGTAAACAAGTCAGGGTGAAAACAATTATTTGATGCTGAGATGGTCTGTGAGCCTTGGCAGTCAGCGTAAATGAGGATTTGTAGGAAACAAGTCATGGCAGTGCAGCGTTTGAGAATAGTCTTTCGGTAATAAGTTAATTCATTATTTATACCCGCCTCATGTCACTCCAAACCTTTTATTTTTCTTCAGCAGAACACAAATCAAAAATCATGTGAAATATGTTCATGCTAGAATCGTCATGCTAACCCAAAATAATTATGCTACACAAAAAAATATGTATTTACTGAAACCTTTTATAATAGGGGCTATTTGTATCATCCTTTTGTGCTTTTAATAGAGTTAGTTCATTATTTAGCAAACATAGCAAATCATACCCTCTCCCCCTAATATGTAGTGAAATTTAATATAAACACTCCCCGTTTCTGTTAATAAAAAACATTTGAAAACAATCATGATTGCAGCCTTCATCCAATACGTTTTCCATCACACTCTCAATGAATCGTCCTAAACCTCTTTGTATAGTGCTCATCATATGGCCTCAGTCTTACTGATTACTAAGCAAAAACGACAGTGATATATTGCTGATATTATGGAGTCCGTCCTGCTCTTGGCTGTCTAATGGAGGTTTGATGAGGGCAACATCCAGACTCCATCCAATCAAGATTAAAGGAAACTTCTAATCGTGATAAGAACCCCTTTTAAACATCTGCCCATCTGTGCCACTCTGACATTTTAAGATCTGTGATGAATCCACAATGAAAAGGACACTTGAAGGTTTATATAGGCCCTGATCATTTCATTTATTCTTAAATTTGTCTAAATAAGCTTTAAACCTGAAATGCAGATTATCATGCCAAACAAAAAGTTTAGAGTAAATGATACAGAATTTTTTTCTGTCTTATCATTTGCTTCCACTGTATCACATAATAATAAGCTGAACGTCCCTAGGATAGGAAATAGAGTTTGCATTTGTTCTGTTGTTTCTGAGCTGAATATTACAGTATATTTCGAGGCTTCTTGGTGGTCAAAACATAATTCCAACCATGTTAAAAGACAATATTGTAACTTAATGAATATGTTTAATAAAAAAAAAACACTGATAAATTCACTTTAAAATAATAATTTAAAAAAAAAGTCTTAAAATGCATTATCATATTATTTTGGTTAAAACTCACAAATAACTACAAATAATTAATGTTAGGGAAATCTGTTAATGTTTTGAGGCGTGTTTCTGAAAAAAAAAAATATATCGGATGATATATCGGAATATCGGATTTTAAAACCAACAAATATTTCTATCGGTGTCGGCCTTCAATATCCTTTATCGGTCGGGCTCTATAATACATATAATATTTATTATCTAGATGAATCTAAATCTAGGTTTAGATCATTAATTAATGTACAATCAGATATTTGTAAATGTAATGAAACCTGTTTCACATGTATTCCTGATAATAGAATGTATATTTTTAAAACACACATGTTATAAAATAATAAATTATATGAAAGGACAGAAATGACAAAATCCCCCATTTACTGAATGCTAATGCACTCATTATTTAAGCGAGCTATATAAGGGATAATATAATACAGATTCAATGAGACATCAAATACAGCTTGGGACACCTTCCCTTGCTACTGTATATCGAGCACATGGACTGACTTTGTGTCTGGCTGTCTGAGGATAGCGTTAGCTTGCATGTAGCCACCCAAATATGCTGCGAGGGAGTGTCAGCCAATAATAATGGTGCCTGTGCAATTGCTATGGTAACATGTTGCCATGGAAACCACCTAGGCTTAGAAAATGCATCGTATTGCTAAAAAAAAACTCTGCGCGAGACTATTTCATCTGATGTTTTCAGAAATCATGCAAGATCCACAACTGCTCGCATGCTGTTGACATGGAGAGACACTATGTGGAGGTGGGATGGGTGTAGCCTGATGCAAAGCTGAAAACAAAGGCTACATCCTCACAGCAGCGGGCTACTATCACATCTGCCCACATGCGGTGCAGACAAAAGGCATGCTAATAACTACATGTCGTGTGAAAGCACAACTAGTACTCGCAACCCCAGTTGACTCCATCCATGGCACCCTCAGATCTTCCGTAAGATCAGTCTGACTGAAGACCTTAACCGAGGGGTGACCTTTTCTTTGGTCCTGAGCCTAATAGTATTTTGGCTGTACCGGGCAAGAGGGATTTGTTGTGTTGTTGCAAATGCGCAGGGGCATGGGGTGGCAGTACCAACTCAGACTCGCGGCACATGCCGTTTAACGTGCCAGTCATGCTGCCTGGGGTAGAGAGAGAAAGTGAGAGATGGAGCAAATGGAGGAGGGGAGAGCCAAAGTGAGCGCAATGGATAAGAGAGACAGAGGTGCAATGATAGAAAAAGACATGCAGACAAACATTAAGTCAGACCTCCAGCCAAAAGCTACAATGATCCAAGATGGGAAAAGAGGATTTCATTGGTTTACAATTTGTACTGGTTTAAGTAAGTGATTTGCAGCTGCATGGTTTTGCATTATAATTTACATTGGACAAGAGGTGGCAACCAAACACAGTCCCAAAATTGTTTAATAATAATTAATTAGGGATGAGCAAAAATGCTTCAAGAATAATGATATTAAGAATAATAAGAATAATAATGAAACCTTTATTAGTATTTTATTAGTATATTGTTAGTAATTGACACATCTTTTTATTTTGCATAATTATTTGGTTAGTTGCATTTAGCTCCAGCTATTAGCTCCAGCTATTAGTTGTAAACTGGTAGGCCTATGTGTTTTATTCACGAAACAGAATCGACTCATTTAGTTTCAATTAGCCATTCATTCAAGAATCAGACTGCCCCGATTGCCCATGTTTGATTCTCTAAAAAGAACCGGCTTACATGTGTCAATGTCATATGTTTAAGGATTGTAACAGTAATTAAAAAGGTAACTAAAAACAAGTTCAATTGCTGTCATGAGTTTTGTTATACAGCACGCACTTGTTCCCTGGTCGGTTTACAATGTGTGTACATGTTTGGTGTCATAGGGATAAAAGACTAGGAGACAGATTCAACTGAATTTACCCCCTCCCACCTTGTGACCGACTACAGGCGGGTATTCAGCTCACCCGCTTTGACCGTTATAATCAGATCTTTTGTTAAAATGTTGGCGGGCCGTTCTGGGCC